CCAGCTCCGTCCGGAGCAACCTCACCTCCTTCGGAGCCGACCAGGTGAGTGGCAGGAGGGCCCACCCCTTCGGAAGGCCCAGGGCGTGAGGAAGGGGATGGCCGGGGAGTCAGGAGGTTCCGGCTGTCAGCGTGACCCCGGACAAACCACTTCCCCTCTCCCGAATCCAGTTTCCTTATTTCAACGAAGAGGGGGTGCTAACTCCAACAATAAGGATGGCACCAGTGGTCATAACCATAGTTAGCCTTCTGTATGTGCCACTTTCAGTGTTTGAACTCATTTCATCCTCTTAACTACTTAGGAGGTAGGTAGTGTTATTATGTCCATTTTACAGATGAGGACACTGAGGTTTCAGGACATTAATCAACCAGTCCAAGGTCTCATAGAGAGCGGGTCAAAGAGCAGCGTAAATAAAGCTGGACTTCCGGCCCCAGCCAGAGCCTCATTTTTATGAGCTTTAGGGATCTGGGGGCTAGGGTGGGAGCAAGCCTCTTCCTGCCAGCTGGGCCAGAGGTTGTTCAGATCCCAGCTCTGCCACTCACCAGCCAGACTGGGCCAGTAGCTTCACTTCTGAGCCTCTCTCTGTACCGTGTGGACAGAGCATGGCACAGAGGAGAAATTCAATAGATAGATATTTGCTACATGAATGAGTAAACACCTAACAACATGGCTTTGTTTTGATAGCTCGACTCAGTGGGATACTAGACAGGAATTTAAATAATATGTAACATGATTTTCAAAAAACCACATATGATGTTAATGAGCAAAAGCAACACAGAATTGCGCACAGAACATGATCACAGCCGCGTGAAAAGACCAGGTTCACCTCCAAGAGGATGCAGTTTTAAACACATCTGTAGGGACTGTAAGTTTATACTTGGAAAAGGAACAAAATACCTATTTACCTATTCCCCAGTGCAGTCAATGAAGCTTGACAAAATCTTCTTAGCTAATGGGTACGTGTATCTCTGGGTGGAAGGAAAGCAACGGGGTCTGAGGTTTGGGGAGTTATTGAAAGGGTGGTGGGTACAGAGTTGCAGGGGGGAAGGTAGAAAAAATTCTAACGGTAGAGTATTCAGGTCCCTGGACTAGTACTGTTTTCCTAATTGTCTCTGTTTTCAAATGTTCCTTAATCGTAAGTATTACAAGCATAAAGGGGACATTTTTCAGGGAATCTTTGCATCCTAGTATCCTTGCCAAGGAGTTGCTCACCTGGCCTGTTTGGATCCCTTTGATGATGGGGAGCTCGGTGCCCCCGGGACAGCCCTGTTTATTCCTCAGCCAACATTGATTTTCCTTCAGACCAAGAGATCCCTAACATCTGCCAGTGTGAATCTCTCATCTTCCCTTAATTCTGCTCTTTCACTGATATCCCACCACACCCCCATGTGCTCTTAACCTGTGCCCTTGACCTCACTGACCTCCAGAGGGCCTCAGCCATCTACTGCCTCCTGTCTCTCCCTCCTCTTGGTGGTAGAATTGGCCTCTCAGAGGACCACTGGGCCGAGCCTCTGGTGGCATCACACTGATAACAGCTTCCCTGCACCCTGCTGTTTACGGAGCATGGATTTCAGGCGAAGCAGGGTGAGGCCAGGCTGGAAGGCTGCCTTAGGGGTTTGGGCCTGATCCCTGGGACAGTACAGAAACACTAAAATGCCTTGAGGCAGGGATGGACATCACTGGATGAAGATGCTGTTAAAAAATAGCTCTGGCTACAGTGTAGAGGGTGGATGGGGGTAAGGAGTGGGCACACCAGAGCAGTGAGGGGGCTGTGGTGGAATTCCGGACGGCAGTCGGACGAGGAGCGTGGGTGGGAGGGGTTGGCACCATCTGGCAGACAGCTACACCCAGGAGCTGGGTGTTTAACACACTTGCTGATTTCAGAAAGGGCCATCCATCACTCTCGACAACGTGGCCGCTCATTTGGCGAGAACTCATTTATATCCTGAACAGGCTGTCTGGTCTTCCCCTTAGAGTTGCAATTGTCATATTCATTTACATCCAATTAATAAATGGAGTGGCTGCTTATAATGGGACTTATTCAATTTTCTGCTTGAAAGTCGACAGCAAGGATTCTCAGTGAGTGTTCAGGCCCCTCCCTCCCTGTTGCCAAGAGGACCCCTCAGAATCTCCAAGAGGATGCAGTTTTAAACACATCTGTAGGGACTATAAGTTTAAATTTGGAAAAGGAACAAAATATCTATTAACCTTTTCCCCGGTGCAGTCAATGAAGCTTGACAAAATCTTCTTAGCGAATGGGTACATGTATCTCTGGGTGGAAGGAAAGCAATGGGGTCTGAGGTTTGGGGAGTTATTGAAAGGGTGGTGGGTACAGAGTCATTTGTCCAGAGAAGTGACCTCCAGACCTCACTGCTTTTTAAAAGTGCAGATGCCCGGGCCCTGCCCAGACTTGCTGATTCAGAATCTGGGATCAGGGTGTGGGAGAGGTGGGGCAGTCAGTGCAGCTGACCCAAGTCAGCAGACCGGAAAGGGGGCCTGGGGCCTGGCTGTTGCAGATCGATCCAAATCCTGGGTAAAGATTTTCAGCCCTTCTGCCCTTGCTGGGGGGGCCTGAATTTTTAATTTTCATCAGGCCAGACCCCGGCTGTGTCTGGGACTACTTCTGCTTTCCCTGATTATGCCAAATTTGTTTGACTGGGAGGCAAGTTGGGGTGGGGCACAATAGAAAACTCTGTATCTCCAAATTGCAGAGGAAACTCTCAATTACACTTCTACCTGTTTTTTCAGTAACATGCACAAATCATATTTAATAATGTGCAACAGACCTGAGATCTTTCTTGGCTTTTTTTCTGCTTGTGAAGGTGACACATGCTGTAGGTTGCTCAAAGACAAAGGGATAAATCAACTAGAAATGAACAAAGTGGCATCAGAGACATCTGTTGTGTGTGCTACTTAGTGACAATAACAAAGCAATGTGTGTCAAAGGCATGAAGAAACAGCTGTGTCAAAATGTCCTGATCATTTACAAGTGACTTCTGAGAGAAGGATCTATTCATTCATTCAACAAATATTTATTAAGTGATCAGGGATTTATTTAGTGATCAGGGATTAAGAAAGTGCTAGGATGCCCACACACTGACCCAAGAAGTGTCTCTGTGGGAGAGAGGGTGCAGGTACGGAGAGCACATCGTGGCAGGGTGTTCCTGCACCTCCTTGGCCCTCACTCTTATCCCTGCCTGCCAGGTGATGGATCTCGGTCGCCATGCCAACCAGCGCTTCTTCAACTGGTTTTATTGGAGCATCAACCTGGGTGCGGTGCTGTCGCTGCTGGTGGTGGCTTTTATCCAACAGAACATCAGCTTCCTGGTGGGCTACTGCATCCCTGTGGGCTGTGTGGGCCTGGCCTTCTTCATCTTCCTCTTTGCTACCCCAAGCTTTGTTACCAAGCCCCCCACAGGCAGCCAAGTGTCTTCCATGCTTAAACTTGCTCTCCAAAACTGCTGTCCCCGGCTGTGGCACCGACACTCTGCTAGGTAAGGAGGGGGCTCGGGGTGAAGGGGCCACTGAGCCTGGAGAAGCTTCTCCTGGGGAGGTACAGTCCAGTTTAAAGACATTCTGGATCAGGTCCGGTGGTGGCCCTGTATGATGACCAGCTCTCCACTGGGCCAGCACTGCCTGCTGTGACTAAGGATGGGGATGGAGGTCAAGGTGGCAGTGGAGTAACTGTGGAAAGTATGAGGACGTTAATGGTCTTGATAGTGATGGTGGTGATGAAGATAGGGATGATGGTGTTGTTAGCTCCAGTGATGACAGATGCTGGTAATGGTGAGAACAGTGGCGGTAGAGGTGGTGATTATGGAGATGATGGCACCAGTGGAGCTTGCTGGGATAGAATTCTACACTATCTCCATATTAAGTATAAGAAAGTCTAAGAAGTCAGCCAGACTAGCTCCCTTTCCCATTAGCTGGCGTCGAAGGGAGGAAGGCTCTGAATGCCCTTGCGTGTGCGTAATGACTTCCTTTTGCCCCTCTCTTCCCTAAGTTAATTGACTACTTACGCTAAGCAAACCTGCCCCCAGACCTTGGGCCCAGTTACAGTTCCTGTCAGTGGGATCTAGATCTAACCTGGTGTATTTCTGTAGGGTTTTGTTTTAATGGCCCATTGCTGCCTAGCAAACCACCCCAGAATTTAGTGGTCTAAGCAAACATCCTTTTTTTTTTAATGATCTCTCACGATTCTGTAGGCGAGGGGCTCAGCTGAGCAGTTCTGCTTCTTGTGATGTTACGGAGGGGCTGCAATCATCTGGGGACTTGAAAAGGCTAGAGCACCCTGTTCGGCTCACTTTTCTGGGTGGCAGTCGAAGTTGGCTCACCCCCAGGTGGCTGGAGCTCCTTACAGCAGGGTGTCTGGGCTGTGAAGGGAAGGAGCATTCCAAGAGGGAATGTTCCAAAGGGCAGAAAGTGGAGGCTGTTGGTCCCTTAAGGCCCTCTGGGGTTTGGCAGTGCCAGAGCATCACTTCTTCCTCACTCCTTGGTCAGCACAGCCACAGGCCAGCCCAGATTCCAGGGCAGGGCAAATAAACCCTGCTGTTAGCAGAGGAGTGGCGTCACATACTGGGAGGGGAGGAGCTGACGCTGGCCATCTTTGGGAAAAAAGCCACACTGGTATCGTCCGTTTTGGAATCTCAAAAGATGAGGCAAGGCTCTTGGGCAAGAAGGGATTAGAAGCCTCTTAGGACAAAGGGCAAAGGGTAAAGGATAAAGGTTGATCCTTCCTGTCTCCTAATTATGTTGCCTCCATCCCTCCCTCTCCATTTCTTGTTCTGTAGGGAGTGGGCTACCATGTTGCCTCCTGAGGAGGATGAACTTGGAGCCAGCACTGGGGGAATTTGGGTATCTCAAATTGGGACAGCTTCTCTCTCTGAATTGGGCATGGATGGGGGCTTCCCAGGTTCCCATGGCAAACTGGCACTACAAGCCAAAAAATCCCCCAAGATTCTGCTGGCCACAGTCTCTGGTCTTATTTCCCCCCAGGACCCAAGGGGCCACAGCTCTAGGATGGATTGGGTCCTGATCGATGCCTTTGCTACAGAGATGATAGTGATAGTATTGACAGTGGCAGTGCCAGCACTGAAAAACTGATGGTGATGGTAGTGAAAACTCCATGCAGCGGATGGCTTTGGTGACGGAGATCACCTTACTAAGTGATGGTGGTGGGGATGCTGGCATTGGTGATGATAGTGATGATGACAAAGGTGATGTAATGGTGGAGTGGAGGAGGTGAGGGCAGTGATTGGGGAGATGACGGCTCTGATAACTGGTGACAGGGGAGTGAGATTGAAGTAGGGGATAATGGTGGAGGTGGAAAGGTGGCCGTGGTGGCGGTGATGACAGCTGCTGTTTTATCTGCTGCCTCTATGGCCCCACAGAGACTCTCTAGGTGCCCATCTGCTGCCTGACCAGAGGTCTCAGCAGCCTGGCCCTTCCCCCCAAGAGGACATCGCCAACTTCCAGGTGCTGGTGAAGATCTTGCCTGTCATGGTGACCTTGGTGCCCTACTGGATGGTGTACTTCCAGGTGACCACCCCTGCCCTTTCACTCTGGGGGGACTGGTTCTCCAGTCCCCTCACTGGTCTCATCTCCCACCGTAGAAGCCCAGGGCATACGACAAGTGGGGAGGGGTTCACCAAGTGAACAGCTGCCATGTAGCAGCTGGAGTGGGGCCTGGGGCAAAGCCGTCCCAGTAATTAACCCCCCAGGTGGTATAGCACAGGGAACTCTAGAGACCAGGCTGAGGCCCAGTGACGTGGATACATCACCCCATCTCTCTGGGCCTCAGTTTCCTCATGTTAGACGAGAGGCTCGAACAGCTCTGCAACATTCAGATTCTCCAACTTGGCAACAGAGGCTCAGAGAAGGTGTGTCAGTTGCCCGAGGGCCTCCAGCAATTTAGGGGCAAGCTCGGTGCATTGAGCTTTACAAGAGCGGTTCCCCACCCTGGCTGTGTCTCAGAGTCACCTGCAGAAATTTTAAAAAATACAGATTCCCAAGTCCCACCCGAGATGACTGAGAGGGACTTGCTGGGGGGAGTCTGTAGCGTAATAAACCTCTCAGATGATGCAGACAGGCAGCCTGGTTTGAGAACCACTGCTTCCCCCCGCTCCCCAAGGGAAAGGTTATTGGGGTGTATGTGTGTGGGTGTGTGTGGGGGGGGTGGGCAGGGGTCTAATCCCTAGACCACAAGGCCACTGCCTCCTGCACCCCCGTCATAGGGACCTGGTTTCAAGCTGCAGGAGACGGGGGTTATGCAAGGCCAGCCAGCTACTGGGGGAGGGGAGTGAGGGTGGCACAGAAGCAGAAGGTGTCCATGATGGGACAGGGACATAGGGGGCAGAATGTGTATTTATGGCTGATCCCCAGTCATACCAGTTGTCAGAATAACGACATTCTTTCATACCAGTTGGCAAACAGCTGCTGCCCCTGGTAGCCCAAGTGCCCTCCCCTGCCCCCAGGCCCTTCAGGGCCATTCTGGTGGGTCAGCGCCTAGACAGTTCCCAGATGTCAACCTGTGGGTCTCAGCTTGGCCTCAGTGTCAGATGAGAGCTCTCCGCAGGGACAGCCATGTCATTATCTTCCCCTTGTCAACAAACATTTATCCATGCCGACTCCGTGCCAGGCCCTAGAGGCATGAATATGAGCCAGAGCAGCTGTGCCGGGCTCTGGAGTAAAGTTGCCCGCACAGTCCTCAGGCCTGGGAGCAGAGTGGAGGAAACTCCTGCGGAGGGAGGAGGCTGGGAGAGGGGACAGCTGCCCAGCTGCCCTGTGCTACTGCTGGGAATGCCTGACTGGGCGCTGGCAGCCTCCTGGGGTGGAGGTGAGGGGCCAGATCTGTTCCAGCCTCGCCTCTGTCTCTCTCTCGGCAGATGCAGTCCACCTACGTCCTGCAGGGTCTTCACCTCCACATCCCGAACATCTTCCCAAACTACCCTGCCAACAGCTCTGTGGCTCTGAGAGCCCAGGGCAGCAGCTACAAGGTGAGAGAAATGCGTGTGTTCAATCCACAGGCTGGGGGCTTCCTCTGAGAAAAGGAGGAAATGAAGCTGCCACCCTCACCACCACCCCCAGCCACAGGGCATCCTCAGGATACAGGAAAAGCACCTGGAGGCCCAGACATCCTACCACAAAGCTCACCTCCTTGAAAGAATTCAGGCTAGCTTTGCTCCCACCCGCTGCTGCTCTGAAGTGGGTCCCACTGCCCAGCTTGCATCCCACACTCAGATCAGGCACACGCAGAGTGCTCCTCAACTCGACCTGGCTCCCTCCCTCTCTGGGATACCTGGATGCCCAGATTGACACCTTTCACCAAGACTTTCCTGACCAGGTCCTTGGCATTTCAGAGACTCTTAAAATCAAAGATCTTCAGAGCTGGCAGATAAATGACATACTTGCTACTAGACCTCCCTTCCTTGCCCATGGCAGACATCATTAATCAATCATGACATTTTTTCATGCTGAGCCCAGGAATGTTCCAGGCAGCCACTACCAATTGATAGATGTTAGAGGAAACTTATTTGCCACCCTGATCAAATCTGGCTCTTAGTTACATGGCTTAAGAGTTCGCATTCCGGAGAGGAGAAAGGACTGATGCTGGGTCACCCAGGGACAGTCTGGATGGAGTCCAGGTCTCCAGCCCAGAGCACCTTCTGCTCTGCCAGCCTGCCTCTCTTGGTCCCTTCTTGCCCAGATCCCAGAAGCCTGGCTCCTCCTGGCCAATGTCGTGGTCTTGCTGATTCTGGTGCCGGTAAAGGACCACCTGCTCGACCCTTTACTGCTACGGCGCAAGTTGCTTCCCTCGGCTCTGCAGAAGATGGCACTGGGGATGTTCTTTGGTTTCACCTCTGTCATTGTGGCAGGTGTGTGGGCCGGAGTGGAGGGCCTTGGGGAGGGGGCTGGCCTTTGTCTATGGCTGGGGGAAGGCTGGCTCCACTCCAGGCTAATGCTGAAGCCATGGGCCTGGGGCAAGTACACCCTCCACCCATGGGTGCCAGTCTTGGCTTCTGGGAATGTGTGAGCTGAAGGAGACCCTCCTCCTTGAGTCCAGCTAGCCCCCACCTCATTTTGACAGATGAGAAAAGTCAGACCAAGAGAGGAAAAGATTCTCCCCAGTGGGATGTAAGCCCATGAAGGCAGGCTGTTTGTTTCTTTTTGGCTATTCACTGCTACGAATAATGCACATAGGTGCTCAGTAATGTGTCGAATTTGTTTTCCAAAGACACACAGCCACTTACTGGTTTGGGGGCTTTTTTCAGAAGAGTACATATTATTTATTCTCTTCCTTCTAACATTTGAAAAGGATTTGAATCCACTTACAAGAAAGGGGTCTGGTAAAGAGGCTTTGTATGATGCTACTGCACAAACCTCGGCCCTTTTCACTACATGACTTAGTGATCCTGAAGTTACTTCGAGTCTCTGAGCTTTAACATGGGGAGAGTAATTCATTCAGACCCTGTGCAGGGCCCGGGCTCAATCCTCATGGAATGTGGTCTAGCAAGAGTGTTGTGAGGATTAAATGAGATGAATCCGGTAAAGCATCCAGCACTGTCCCTGGATCACAGGGAGGAGCCGGAGGAAATGAAGGTCAATAAACAGTACTGTGTTACAAGGATGAAAAAGCAAACTAGATTCTTTTTCAGCTACGTGCTTTAGTGCGTTTCGCCCTATTTCATTCTCACGATGATCCTGGGATTTTTATTCCCACCTGTTGCATAAGTGAACTGAGTCTCAAAGAGGCTAAGTGATTGGCCCAAGTTCACACAGCTAGCCAGTGGCAGGGTCGGGATTGGAACCCAAATCACCTAATTCCATATTCAGTGTTCATTCCACTAGTGCACAGCTGTCTCCTAAGCAATGAAGGGGAAAGAGAGAAAATAAACTTGAAAGTCAGGTTAGAAAGCCTCCTGTACTACTTGATGCTGCAGTAGAGGAGTCACGTGATATCATGGAAACTGGGCCAGCTTTGAAACCAGACACACTGGGGTGCAAACCCAGCCCCAACTACTTATCAGCTGTGTGACTCTGGGCTGGTTGTTTAATCCAGATTTCTCTTTTGCATTTGCAAGAATGTGTATTAAATACCTAGCTCATAACAGGTTCTCAATTAATGAGAGTTGTTATTGTTATGGAGTGCAAAACCTAGTTCTGAGCTTCCTAGCAGCCAAGGCAAAAAGGGAAGGGTTGGAGGGCCACTGTTCTTTTCTTTACCTGCTGCCTAGTCAATCACTGGCTACTTAGTGAATATCCACTACATGTCAAGCTCTGTCATGGGCAAAGCTGCCTAGAGTGGGCCTGGCTGTAGTCTCCCTCTCTCCCTCACCAGGAGTCCTGGAGATGGAGCGTTTAGAATACATCAGTCACAACCAGACGGTGTCCCAGCAGATCGGGCAGAACATATACTATGCAGCACCACTGTCCATCTGGTGGCAGATCCCTCAGTACCTGCTCATCGGGATCAGTGAGATCTTTGCCAGCATCCCAGGTACCCTGGACCCCTCCCCAGCTCTCATACCAGTGATGGGCTCTGCCTGGTGGTGCCTCAATGTCAGAGGTCTCACGGGCACAGCCTCTGGAGCTTGTCTGAATGGAGAAAGGCAGGGTTTTCTGAGTGGGGCTGCATTCACCCATTTGGGACTTGTCAGCATCTGGTTTGTGCCAGGCACCGTGACAGACATGGGGGCTCTGGAGGTGAATGAGACAGTTCCCATACCAACTTCCCACACAGCCCCCCTGCTGCCGTGTTTCCCACCCTCTGTGTCTTTGACCTTGGTGTTCCCCCTGCCGCTGATCAGAAGTGAACTCCCACTTCCCCTTCAATTCCCAGTCTAAATGCTGTCTCCCCCATGAGGCTCTCTCCAAGGCCCCTAGGTAGTCGGGGTCCCCTCTGTCCTCCCTTTGTTCATTTGGCCCAGGGTAGAGGGAACAGAGCTGGGGAAAGACATTGGGAGCAGATTTCCGAGGTTGAATCACAATGATATGGTGATGATGTTGAAGGAAGGCAGAGAGATTGGGGGTTACAGTGAAGACAGGGCTGGCTCAGTGGTGCCATCACTGAAATGGGAGACCGGGGAGAAAGGAGAACAGGGGAGACAGAAGAATGTGGGAGCATCCAGGTGGAGGTGTTCAGATGAGGGGATGAGCAGGGCAGAGGGTTATTGGTGCTTGGGTGTCGTCATCACAGCACTCATTCAGGGAGGCCAGGGTGGAGGCTTGGTGGGGGTGGGGTGAGCGTTGTGGGGCCTGAGCCCGCTTTCTGCTCCTCCACCGGCCCCTCGGGTTGTCCTCCCTCCCTCTGCAGGCTTGGAGTTTGCGTACTCAGAGGCCCCACGCTCCATGCAGGGCGCCATCATGGGCATCTTCTTCTGCTTGTCGGGGGTGGGCTCGCTGTTGGGCTCCAGCCTGGTGGCACTGCTGTCACTGCCGGGAGGCTGGCTGCACTGCCCCCAGGACTCTGGTGAGTATGGGGGCCTCCTGGGAATGGGACATAGGCGGAGGGAGGCTGGGAAAGGAAAGGTGGTGGCAACTGCTGTGTGCTTGACCCTAGGCAGAAGGAAGTGGCACACTAGACTCAGGAGAACAGAGTTTGAGCCCAAACTTGGCCCACTGCCCACAGCGTGGCCTCCCCTCCTGGGGCCTCAATTACCCTGACCACCAAAAAGGGATCACTGAACGCAGCAGACCTCCAAGGGGCCTGCCTGCTTCTGGAACTCTAACATTCTGGTTGAAGGGTCACCTTTCTCTGTGGTCCTTAATGTTTTAAGCCCCCCAAAGAACCAGCTAACAGGGCATTGTAGACGCCACAGGGGACATCCAGAGCAGCCAGATGCCAGAGGGCCATCTGCCCAGTGTTTTCAGATCCCCTCCGCTGCCCACTCTGGCTTCAGCTGCCAGCCCCAGGGGAGCCCTGCCCTGACCCAAATGCCAACCCCTCCTTTCCCCAGGGAACATCAACAAATGCCGAATGGACCTCTACTTCTTCCTGCTGGCCGGCATTCAGGCTGCCACGACCATCCTGTTTATTGGGATCACTGGTCGCTATGAGAGGGCGGCCCAGGGCCGAGCCTCCCAAAGCTGTCCCAGGAGGGACAGTGGCTGAACACACCCCCCACCCTAGTCCCTCGCTTCTCTCCCGCCAACATAGACTGCAGCAGTCCGCTGGGGTTTCCTTTTCAGTTTATTCTGTACCCAACATCAGGATGAAATGGGTCTCATAAGTAAGGGCCATGAGCCCTTCCTCACAACTGCGGTCCATGACAAAGGGCAGGGCGGAGGGGGCCTGGGGGGACTCCCTGTGAGGAGCCAGGCAAAGGACTCGGATTAACAAGCACCGGAGGAGGAGCAGGAGGCTACCCGGGCTGGAAGCTGACAGCGCCGGGCCAGGCGAGGCCGGGAGGGTCAGGAGCTGCCCCGGATCCTCTCCATGTAGCTGCGCAGCTCCTCGGGGTCTTTCAGCCCCATGTCCTCACACACCCAGCGGATGTCCTCCTCGCCCGCCACTAGGATGGACTGCACAGCAGGGGCCCCCACGGGCTCCTCGGGCAGCTGGACTGGGGGTGCTGGTGCGAACGTCACAAACTCTACACGCTTCCGCCGCCCCCCGGCTTCCTTCCTGGCCAAGGTGCTCAAAGAGCTGGTGGTGGCCCCAGCAGGTGCCTGGGCTGGGGTGGGGGCCTCCCCTCCTCCCCCACTCTCGCAGGGGCAGCTTCCCTCCCTTGGGCAGGCCAGGGGACTGCCGGTCCAGCTGGCGGCTCAGTTCCTCCTGGTCAGTGCCCAGCCAGACCCAGTTGTGGGGCTGGGGGGAGGCAGGGTCAGTGGCACTGTCAGGAGGCTCTTTGCGCTGGTAGCGCAGCACGAAAACCACACCATTGACCAGGAAGATGAGGATGGCCAGACAGAAGATGCCCAGCAGGGCGTACATGCCCAGCTCTAGGTCGGTGACCCGCTGTGGGGCAGGGACCATCTCCTCCTGTTCCTCCTCCTCCTCCCTAGCGTCTGCCTCTTCCTTTCTGGCCTCCTCCTCTGCCTGCTCGAACTTGCCCCTCATGTCCCTGCTGCCCCCCAAGCTGCCTGCCGCCCGCCGTTCTCCACCCACACTGGCCTCCGGGGCTGGTGAGCTCCGAGCAGGGCTGGATGGGAGGGCAGGGGCAGGGGTGGGAGCAGGGGGCAGCCCTAGCCACGCGGTGCCAGAGGCCAGGGGCACACGGTGGCGGCCCCGGCGGCAGGGCTCAGGCGGGTGCAGAGCCACATGCAGGGGCAGCCCCTCAGCGCCTGCTCCACTCACCACCACCCCAAGTTGGGCACCCCGCTCCTCGGCTGGCAGGACAGCACCGGGTTCCTCGGCCGAGATGGACAGTCCCAGGTCATGGTGGTCGTAGAGCTCAGCGGGGGCCAGGGTATGGTCAGAGAAGGACAGCCACAGGGAAAGGGCCACCTCCTGTGGGGCACACGGACACAGGCAGAGACACGCGAGGGCACGCACGCATGCACACAGAGACCACTCCCACAGAGACAGGCCACACGGAGGAGAGACCAGAGAGAAAACAGACACAGGCAGAGGGACAAAACACAGGGAGAGAGGGGATGTGTGTCAATCACCTGTCTGCCACTCAGCCCCGGGGTCTGAGTCATTGGGAGGGTCCTCAGAGCCATCTAATCAACCTCCCACTGCCACATTTCAGCCAGCCACTGCTTGATCACCTCCAGCTGCAGAGAGCTCACTACCTTACTTACAGGGAGTCAGTCCTCATTCTGAAAACCCTAAGGTGAAGGGTGGAGATACCTCCCATCCCTCTGTTATCAGTCCCCAGCTGGAGATGTTGACCTCCTCTCCCTAACCCACAGCTGTCACCTGCTTTGGGGCGGGAAGGGCTGACTGTGCCCAGCACGTGGCTGTGACCTCCCCGGGGTGGGCAGTGCCCCGGCTCAGGGCCAGTGAGATGCCCATCACCGGCTGCACCCGCAGCTCCAGCACTGAGACCTTGTCGTCCGTCACGGCCAGCGCCTGCTCCCCGAGGATGGAGTCAGACAGCGGGGAACGCACCTGAGGGTAAGAGTGAGCTGAAAGTTGAGGGGGGCCTCATACACAGACAGCTTCTCTGCTCTGAGAGCCCAGCACCCCTACAAAGGGATCTGGTTTGTGCTCGTAGCATCCAAACAGGCTGCCTTCCCACCCACTGCACCCCAACCACACACCTTATACATACCTGGACCCCCATGCCACACAGAGGGGCAGTTCCTTCCTCTCTCAAGACTCTCTCACATAGCCAACTTCAGTCCTTCCTACTTTGAGGACTTCGCCCATTACACGAGCCACCAAAGTCTCACCCAATCCCTAATCCCACTGGGCTCATACCACCCCAGGTACAGCCCGGGCCCCTCCAACATTCTTTGCACCTGCCCACGAGCATGCTGGGAAGCACCTACACTCTTCTCAGGGCATCTGCTCACCTCAATGGAGGTAACACCGGGCTCCCGGCCCACCAGGACGCGGCCTCCCTCCAGCGAGGCCACGCGCGGGTCCTGCACGCGGGCGTGCGGCGCTACGAGGTGGGACACGTCCAGGAGCCAGTCAGGGCCGAGCAGGTGGGTGAGGCGGCGGCCGCTGTCCAGCGGGTGGGCGGCGAAGGGGACGAGGAAGCGCACGCCGGCGCGCTGGTACTGCAGGCGGCAGCCGCGGGCGCGCCGCTCGGCCTCCTCCGCCCCCGCAGCCTCGGGCTCCGGCGCCCTGCGGTGAGGGGCGGCCCGGGGGCGGGGCGTCAACGCGGGCTCCGCCCCCAGCCCACTGGGGCCCCACCCACGCTCCTAATGGGAGCACGTTCTTCACGCTCCGCCCACAGCCGCGCCTCTGTGGCCAGGCCCTTCCACCTGCAGACGCCGCGCCCCCAGTCCGGTTCCTGATTGGTGCCTGTGCCTATCCATCAAGCCACTCTTGCCCTCCTCTTGCTCCTTATTGGAACTCTGGCCAAGGGGGAGGTGAGGAGACCCTCTTACGGGGGAGATAGATCTACGAGTGCTCACTCTTTGGAGGGCCAGATTACACCCTGGGGCTCTGGTAGGATCCCCTCAATGTTTACTGAGCTAGCTAGCATCTTAGGCTCAGAGGACACAGCAGTGAACAGAACAGGCAAAACCCCTGCCTTTGAGGGCTTACATCCTAGGGGAGGAGTGCGGACAGGGTAGGTGGACCGCAAACAAGATTAATCCGATCAGGTGGTATATTAGAAAGTGATACGTACTATAGAGAAATAAGGCAGGGCAGGAGGTGGGGGAAGGGAGCTCGGCAGTCACAAACATTGGTCAGAGGCTCGGTGAAGACCTCAGCTCGGGCTTCTGGCTGTGTCCCCTGCACCCTCCCTCAATCCCAGAGTGACTTCGCCAAGGCCTGCCAGTTTCCTCAGGCCTCCACTCACCCTTCCGCTGGGCCAGGTACCCTCCAGCCTCGGACCTGCTCGAGGGTGGTGTCGGTCAGCTCAATGCGCAGGGGCAGCAGCGGGGCCCACACGGTCAGCCGCAGTGAGGCCCGCAGCCGGCGCCACCAGAAGTCCACCTGCAATCCTCGAGCGCCCCGGCTCTCCTTGCCAGCCACAAACACAGCATCACAGGCCTCTGACACCTGTGGGAGGCAGAGGGTAAGGGATGGGCTAAGCCAGGGCAGACAGGTGTGGACCAGAGGGGTACAGCTGAAATTCACTCTATATTTTACTATAATGCATGTCCTTGGATTAAGATTTCACCAGGCAGCCAATATCCGCTCCCTGAGGAGGAACCAGGACTTCCCTGAGTTCATCTGGGGCTCAGCTGGGGAAACTGGCTATTTGCAGATAACAGAATCCACCCCCCCTCCCCAAACACACACACACCCTCTGCAGAAGAGGGTTTGAATTTACAACTTTGGCTCCTCATTCATGCTGGCCTCTGGCTTTGATGCTAGAGCCCCCAGCTACAAGTGAGTAGGCAGAGGCTGAGGGCAAGGCAGCCCCATCCACCAGAGAACAATGTACCCAGAGGCAAAATGCAGGTCCAGGTAGCAAAAGACACTTCCATTTGGGCAGCCAGGATTTAGGAAACTCAAGCTCTGGGCTTCCCTTCTAAATAGGGAAAGTTGCCCTGCCTTTTTTTTTTTTTTTTTTTTTTTTTTACCTTCATGGGTCATTGCAAGGCTCCAATAATAGTTATCACTCTTTTTTAGCATTCTATAATGATTTTATTGCCCGATTATGATAACGGTAGTAGCTGCCGCTGTTTCAGCTCCTGCTGTCTGCTGGATACTGACTTAGAGTGCTTTTCATTCTGACAACATCCCTAAAATATATTCCCATTTTGAAGCGTAGGAGACTGAGGCTCAGAGAGGTTAAGATGCTTGTTCACAATCACATGCTAGCTGATAACAACGACTGGTTTCAGACGAAAACTTTCCCATCCCAAAGTACATGCTCTTAACTCTTCCACATCAGTTCATCTGCCAATGCAGATTGAATTGGGGGCTGCTGGGGTCACACAGCTCCCACTTGACTCTGGAGAGAGGTGGTGGGGATAAAAGCTGTGGTTCCCCTTGTGAGGTTACTGGCCTCAAGAAGCAGCTGTTCTCTTGGGGACCTGAATGCGGAAGGAAAGCTGTGTGTGCATCACACATGCACAAATGCATAGTCACACACGGATGGCACATGCCACTCACCTGCAGCACCTGTGTGTTGGCCGACTCACAGCCGATGTGCTCTGTCACCTCCACCAAAGCTCCCCCACTGTCCACGGTGACAAGGCGCACGGGGACCCGCCGTGGCACTCCAGTCAATGGTGCCGTGTTCACCAGCTCCTCGGCCTGGGGGTGCAATAGGTACTCAGCCCCAAGCTCCTCACCCCACTTGGCCCCCAGCCAGGCCAGGTAGAGATGGGGACCCGTTACCTTGGCCAGTGGGACGAGGGCTCTTATGTCCCGCTCCGACACCAGGATCTCCCACACCATTTTGTCCTTTTCTGCTTCAGGGGCCTGGCCTGGGTACTCCAGCTGCCATGTGACAGGGCGAGTGACTGCCACGCCCCCACTAGTGCCATTCTCCACCAAAAAGTCCACCCACAGGAACTCGGACAGTTCAAGGGGGCTGCTGGCCAGAAGAGAGAAAATCTGAGCACGGGCTAGCGGCCAGCCACTGTTGTGAGCATGTCCTGAATTCATATGGTATGTCCTATGATTATCCCTATTTTACAGATGAGGAAACTGAGGTACAGAGGTTGCATAACTT